AGACTATTATGTATATATAGGCCTGTAAGTGTTTTACATTCTAAAAAATTTCTTAATTTTGTAAATTTTCATTATTTTTTAAATATATGTATTCTAATATACACGAAACTATGTATTTAACAGTTTATATTTAAATAAATATACGGATTTCTATCATAAAATAGCGCATTGCATGGTGAAGCCGCTTTAATACGGTTGGATAAGCGAGCCAATGACAGTCCATTTTATTTGAAACGGACTTTGTCATTGGTTTGCTTATTTAGCTGTATTAAGTGTCTCTTCACCAGGCAACGCGCGTCCATAGATTGCTAGAATAATTGCAATTTTATTTAATAAATTATAGTATATATGTATATTGTAAAAGTAAGATCTGAAAGGTGTATTATAATAAGAAAGTGTGGAAAAATATATAAATATAGAATATGTTCAATCTGTGCATCCTGCATCATTCGAAATGCCGTTTCTTTAACATAAAATGATCAAATTCTGAAATACTGTACAGTACTACATTTTAATGCTCCTTCGTGTTTTACTATGAATATTGCATAATTTTTGATAATAAAAATAATGTATTTCTGAGTTTCATAATATATAATACTTCTATTTTCGATGATATACATCATCATTTTTTTTCTATTAATGAATTCGCGTTTGGCATTTATCCTTTAAAACGTAAACAAGGTTGCATTGTGTCATTTTCAGTGTCCTTTAGATGCTTATCTCTTTATATAATTGTATTGTATCCATACTTTAAACTAGATAATATAAATAAAATTTTATTTCCAGTATATTATGTTATGTCCAATATATTATGTTCTGAAAATACACGCATATAACGTCCCTACAGGATCATTTTCTGGGTCAGTTTCATATGAAAGACCCGATGTGCAAATGATATAATTTATCGAAGAAAGGTTTATGATGATTTTGTTTTTATTTATTTTATTCACATACATTTATGCCTTTCGGAAAAGAATAGAATCCCACATCATCGTGCTTTTCTGGGGTCCTGGTGATGAGCATAAATATTTCTTCAAGCTGATTTTTACTTTAAGCAACTTGTATTAAAATCTAATCATTCAAAATGTTCATTAAATAGTTTTAAGAAATTCGATTCATTGTTTCATTTGGTCATTGTTTTTAGGATGAATGTAATTTACTAACGCAAAGACCCTTTGACCCGGAAATTAAATGGATATTAACACGAATATTCATTGACTTCAGGACAGTTAATCTAGATATAAATATTTTAATGCTGTATTTTTACTTGTTGTACTCGAAATTAAACTATATTAGCAAAAGTAAATTTTGAATTATTCAAGAAAATAATACATTATATACTGTGAAACTTCCGAACAACGACCATTGATGGTAACATAAAAATTGGACGTTGTTTAAAGGTGGGTTCGTTTATGTTTATAAATTAAATGAACTGAAATATATCTTGGAATAATAATTCAACTTGTTTAGATAATATTCATATAAAATTTTTCTTAATTATATTATGATTTCGCAATTAAATTTTAATATTTAACTTACATAATTAAAAATAAATAAATAATTTATAGGAAAATGCGATATTTGTACGTGTTTATATAAAATTTTAAGTACACGAATAAAATACAGTTTTATATATCATCTCATTAAATTTTTCACGTAACTCTTCACGGTCTATAAACTTTGACACTGATAACTTCGTATCGTTTACATTTATAGATTCATCAATATCGGATTTATAGGTTATATTAAGTATTCGGTTTGATTTGATGTAATAAGGCAACGCAACATATGGGCAATCTTCCAAAGGGGTGCCATCTTGCAGATCACTCCGATCCTCCAGAGCGGCGGGCTCCGAGGGACCCAGAATCGAATCCAAATGACCAACCTCCAGGAATTTTCTACCGAATATGTTGGATCCATCCTTCACCACTCAGCGATCTCCGTTGTGGGCTAGACACATGATGGATATGGAATAAAGGCCCTCTTAGTATGTCCGCAGAGTGGAAAGAGTTTAAAAACACAAAAAGTGTTTTAAAGCCAGGGGATAAAAACATTAAAAATGTTTATTGGAAAATTGGGTACAGGGTACTTAGGGCACACAGGGATTGAGTACAGGGTACATAGAAAGCTTTCCAAAATTCAACGGATTTTATTTAAAAAATATGATACTAAATTATATAAATTAAAGTTTCTTTTGATAAATGATGAAACATTTGTTTTTTTTATTGGTTTTATTATTTTGTTATTTATTTTTATGCCTTTCAAAGAGGGTGGAGCGTTACATTTGTTTCTTGTTCCCCTTCTATCTTCCTTTTTTTAGTTCCTATAATTACAGAACAGTCTTTTCAAATTAATAAATTTGGATTTTATGATGCAACATTTCTACGAATTTTCAGTTTTTATTAATGATTGATTAATTTTAATTATAATTAATTAATTAATTTTTTCCTCTATTTCAAACGTGCAAGCGAGAGGGGAAAGAATTATGTTCACATAAAATTTAATTGGAATGTATTCCTATACACTTACAAATAAGAATATTATAAAATTTAATATATTATGCTTAAATTATGTATAGTACAAGGCAGAGTTTCTCCGAAAAAGAATATCATTCAAAAATTGTCGTTATTAAAGTCGAGTCACGACTTTCGTGTCAACTTTATCTCTCTAATGATCATTTAATGATTTTAAAAGTGACTCATTTGTCATGATCTATAATAAAAATATTTTGTATTTCAATATTAAAGGTATTTTCCGAACGAGCTGCTTTACGTGTTAATTTATACCTCCTACGCCTTAATATGGTTAATTATATTTTTGATTAATCATTTATGACTCTATAGTTTAGGACCTCGCTTTATGAGTTTATATTTAAGGCCTCACATTTTTATATGTATCATTATTTATAAAGAGAAATGGCCTGTTGTGTTATAGATTAAGGCAACAGCAAGTCTAAGTTCAGCAATGAGTTATTTTATAGCTAAATTATATAGTAACGATGCGTTATTGAAAGTATGGATTTTAATACGTTGTTAGAAGAAAAGAGGAGTTTAACTACCTTGTTCTATCGATCAGAAATCATTATATTGACTAAACGAAATTACAGTTTATTTTTATTATTTTATTAGGAGGAAAATGTTTAAAAATTCAGTTTGGAACCGAACCAGCGACCTTCTTTGGTTGGCCATATTCTCAATTTATTGAATTTCTCAAATTTCTCGACATAAAACAACTGATTATACATCAGAACAATGATGGAACCTTAGAACTTATAAATCGAAGCTATACTTATACGGAAATGAGAATTTTGCTTATTGTAAATTTATTAAAATACCGAATTCGATATAAATTACGATTTTTAGAGCAACGAATAAAACTTAATCGTTACTTTTGACATAATGATAGATTCAAGGAGGAAAAATGCAATTTTAAATGACTCGCCCGTAAGCTACAGTTTGAGAAGCTGGTTTCAAATAGCCTCACTTTCTTACGCTATTTGTTTCTTTCATTGAATAAAAATATATCATTTATTTAAATTAAATTAAACGTTTTGAAAGTTATTTATTTATTATTTCTCCATATTTACGATTATTTCTTGAAGTAAATGAAATATAAGCTTATTTTTACTCTCTTATAAACTATCGATCTCTCAACTAATGACTTTCCTTCCGTCTGTTTAAAGACGTTAACTGATCAAAATATCGGTATAAAACCGATTAAAATTGATGTATATTTATACATTATTGTATTAAAATGATCAGATAATTATTTATTTCAATTTAAAATAATTTAGTGCCGCTTCTACACAGCGGCAATAAAATTTATGCAGTGAATAACGATAGGAATATTAACACACCTTATCTGAGATGTTTGATAATAAAAATTACCCAAACGTAATTAGTTACTTTAATATAATTGGAAACTTCAAATATGTCACAATCTTCCGGAAATTGATGACATCATTTCCGTTCCCAAGTTGTCAAAACGCAAAATGTGGGACGCATTTTGTGGTTTATACTTAACTGCGGCATGAGCCATTTTGTATAATTAAAAATAAAAAAAAGACAATAGAAAGTTGTTGCAATATTTTTCGGCATCCGGCCACAGTTTTAATGTTTTATATTGTGACGAAAATTAATAGAAAAATGCGTACATCCTTCCATAAACATCCTACAAACTTTGTTTTTTTCTAGTTCAGTAAAATCGTAGCAATTAAAATCATACAATTTTGAAGTTTTGTACTGTACGTGTTTAATATGCACGAGACTTCATCATAAAATAATTTGTTACGTATTTTTTATTGTTACGTCAAATAGTTATCGTAAGTTAATTATCTTCAACCGTTTTTAATCTGCTAATTGATGTTTGCGGAAGAGTATCATAGGTCGTTGACTGGACATTTTGCTATCGATTCGCTCTCGGAATTAAATGGCGACCTCTTTACTAACTTATCCAAAAAAAAAAAAAAAAGTTAAATTGTATGATTCTGCGGGCTTCCAACTGCTTACATTTTCCTAATTGATGAAGGATATTTATATATATATCCTGTAATAAATGTGTTTGTATCTTCATTTCTGTGCATTAAAACACTGAATAAAAATAAATATTCTTTTAAAAATAAGACATTAATAATTAGACGAATTAGAGATCGTTATTCTCTTTTAATTGCTGTTGCTGTTATTTATAAACTCGCAAATATAGGCTATGTCAATAGCAATGTCAACGTCTTCCTATCGCCGACATTCAAAATTGAAGTCTTGATATCCCCCACTGGTAGATGACTATTAAAATTAAGTATATTCTCTATTTTCTTAGAAAATATAAGGAGAGTATCCCCCTTTTTTATGTTTAATGCGGATCGTTTTTATCGATAAGTACAGTCTAGTTAATGATTCCAAAACTTTACTTGCTCTCGACAATTGTTAATGATGCAAAACTCCATTCCACTTAATAGCTAGTACGCGTGCGCATTTATTACGTCATCTTACAGTCAAAAGAGGAGTGAGGACCACAAACTCAAACAAACGATGACCATGCAACTCCTCGTGCTCCTGCTCTTCGTCTCCTCCACTCTGAGTAAGTTTAATTTAATTAATTATATTGTTATAATTTAAACGTTTTAATATAAAACCATAAAGATTTTACCGTAATTTACAGTTTATTAATGAATTTTAATATGATTTTCCTAATTTGCTGTGTGTAGAATTTTTAGTAAAAGATTCGAATAATAAAATATATTTAAATTAAATAAGTTAAATATTTATTTTATTCACTTCTTCGCTCGGATGATCGTGAGTTATATTAAGGTTATTTATGAAAATTTTCAGGGCTTTCGTGCCAAATTTAATTTTTAAAAAGAATCATTTAAAGTAGCACATCCCACTGATACCATGACTTAAATTCAATTACACGATACCATAATTAAAGTCGACCTCATGTAATAATATCACGCAAGATTTTTATATATACATATTAAAAATATAATTTTACGATCATTTGAACTGTTCTAAATTAATTTTTTTTTTTTTTGCATTTAAAATAAAATTTATAAAGTATATACAAATGCAAAAACAAAAGGGAAAGTAATTTGCAAGGACACCCTGTTACTTACTGTGCACGGAGGTTGTTTACTCGATGATTATCTTCATTGACATTAATGCAAATATTAAATCATTGAATAGTGAATTTGATTGATGCTCATTGCTTGCAATTAGTTAAGGTAAGATTCATCCGAGGGCCATTTTAGAGTGGGCACTTCACGTGGTTCTATTAAAAAAAAAGTTTCAAAAAATTTATCGATTGAAAAAAAAAAATAGGAATTTGTAGAAACTTTCCCTGTTTTAATTACAATTAAAGACTTTCCCTGTGATAAAGTATTGGTGAAGTAATGAAAACTTGTTTTCGTGCGCAAGTTAATTAAAATATACATACATGTATATATTTAACTCCCCCTATTTTTAATTAGAATTAAAGGAATACCATTTTGTAATAAAATGCCTGTTAGTGCAAACTAATCTTTAATAATATAAACACGTAATTAACTTAAAAAAGTCTTTCCTAACGCTTTCATAATTCTAATTTTACTTTCGTTGTTCTGTTCCAAAAATTCATTCAAGGACTTTTTTTTTATGAAGTTATTCCAATTTTGCCCTTGATTAAAACTCCCTTCCAGTCATGAATGGCCTTCTATTGTAATCTTGTACCGGAACTATTTCATCACTTTATTTTCTTTCTTTCTAGAAAAAAAAAAACGGTTCAAAATACAATTGCAATGTTTCTGTAATTCTAACTGATAAATGAAAGTTATAGGAAAAGTAAATTTAAAAATATTTAGAAGAAACAGCAACGAAAGAACATTTGTCACAGACATGACTTTGATATGCCACACCTCTAAGAGGTTCATAAACAATGTGATATGTTCATTTCGTGCTACGTTTGACATTGATAATGCAATACTTTCTCCTTACTTATTTTATTTACTATAAATTATAATTAAACGTAAAACTATTAAATTTAATGATACTTTCATCTTGTTGCAGGTACACTTCTAGTTAAAGCAGAGCAATGCAACGATGATCAATTAAACAGATGTGAAACGGCCATCACCAAAATTTTAGAAAGTGGTGGGGGCTATCAAAGAGATACGAGAGAGTATTGTAGGTACGTTTTATTACGTTTGCTGCAGTAATTTCTGTGGATTTCCAGCCCGTTCGGACGTTACTATGATCATTGACCTCTCCAGAAAATATTGACTATAGTTCTATTTTATTAAAAAAAAAAATTCCTTAAAAATCACATAAATGTCTTAAATGATGATCGATGTAGAAGAAAATCGGGTCATCTTCTACTTATTAAACATTGACTTTATCCTTTAGAGACGTGATTTAAGTAGGTTTATAGAGGTATAAATGTAATTACACCGACTATAAAACTCCTTATGACAGTAGGAAAATATTAAGAATTTATATTCTTCCTGCTACTTTATTTAGCGGCTCGATTTTTTAATTATTTCAGGCTCACTATTATCATAACTACATTCAAAAAAGATTAATTCCGGGCTAGATATATTATATGATTTTTAACATTAACTTATAAACTTTTATAGTTATACAGCCGGATGGCCGAGAGGTTAAGATGGTCTCTGGAGACTCGAAATCGAATCTGGACTATTCAAAAACCCCTGAATTTTTGGGGTGGTCCGCATATTCGGGCTTCATTCTATATCACCGGACTGCCCTATTGTGGGCTTATCAGAGCGTATAATGGGCTTGTTTGAATCCATCCTAATGCCCACAGGGCGGAAAGAATTTTTAAAAAACGTTTTATATTTTCTTAAATTATGTATTATTCATTTATGAAAATTATTTCTAATTTAAATTTTATTTTGTTTAGAAATCTGTACAGGAAATTGCATTGTTTAGTTACACAAACGTCTCTCTGTCTTTCTCCTTCAGAAAGGCAGAGTAAAAGTTCTATAATTCATAAAACATGGCGTTTTCTTGGAAGTATATGCGATGGTTATGCTAGTAAGTAAGCTTACAGTAATTTTCTATGCTAGTTTTTCTTATTTAAATTTGAAAATAATTAAAATTTCCCTCTAGTTTGGTGGAGATTAGATTGCTATCAGCAAGATGGAGTAAAGCATTGTGAGTCTACACTTACTGATAATAGAAGCATCAATCGAGAATCTTGCAGGTTATTTTTAATATCGATTTATACTTTTTATTACTTTAAAAAATTATAAAAATTAAATAAATAAATAAACAATTATTTAGGAATTATCGACAATTTCGTGAATGTTCAACCCTTGTAGTAAGATCTCGTTGTACTCCTGAAGACGAATCTCTTCTTGGAATATATCTTTTGGATAAAGGTAGAGAAAGAGCTTGGCTTTGTTCCGGAGATGATCAAGATGATAATTATATATCTAGCGCTCCATTATCATCCGAATATCAAAGAGGTTTGTAACTATTTATTATAATTTAATAATTATACTATGTTTTTAAACCCATTGTAAAGGGTTAGATATCCAGATCGTGATGGATTCGGGTTCGGATCCGATCGAAATTCGCATAATTTATTACAGATAATTCGATTTTTTCTTTGACTATCGCTTATGACGGCTGACACTATTCCCAGCTTGAATTATAGACTTTTCAATTCACATGGGCTTGGCAATTCGGTTTAGTTTGGTTTGGTTTGATGAGTTAAGGCAATGCAACACAAGGGCGATGTGCCAAGGAGGGATGCCTTGCAGGAGAGCTTTCTATGGAAAAATGGCTCTTATCTAGATGTTACACGCGTGAAGAAACTCAAAAAATATCCACCGTTGGCCAGAGACGAACCCACGACCAGTTCAATGGTTTATCCACTCGGCCACCGATGGGCACTCAATTCCAATTAGAGACTTAACTGAGCCAGATTGTCAGTACTCGCACAAATAAATCTTGAAAGCATTTTAATGTCGGTTTTTCTACATTTCAGATGAAAATTGTGAAATAAGGGTCAAAAACGAAGCAAGAATGTGCAAGAAACACGCTGAAGATAAATTTAGATCAGACAAAAACAGTAATAATGTTAGCTACATGGACGAAAAATGCTGGTTAGTAAAGAATTTAATGTTAATTAATTAAACATTTTAAATTATTTAATAAATTAATTATTACTTTTTAAAATATTTTCAGTATGATGAAATTATTTAAAGAATGCGTATCAGATTTAAGTAAACGTTATTGTGGAACCGAAGAATTAGAAATATTTAATTCGTTGAGACACGAGTATTTCGGATTCGAACACAAACAATGCTCGGACTCTATAAAATGTTCCAGCGCCTACAAGTTCAATAGCATACATTTCATTATACTTCTCATTATCTCTTCTATTACTCAAATGATTCATTAGATTTCAGTTTTTAGAGAAAAATTACATCATTGAGTAATTGAGATCATGCAAAATACATGGTTTATGCACAGCTGAGTTATGCCAGTTGTTAGCATGTTTCCTAAATATGAGGAAAGAATGTACTTGATTTTGGCTTCCTATATTATTATTTTATATATACATATATATTGTGACGTAATTTTTACTTTGGAGTTGAAAAATTCCTTACGTTTTTTTTATAGGAGCATGTTTAAATGAGAAACTCTGTGCACCATTTAAAATTACAGTTACCTTTATCTGTAAATTACAAATACAGTATAACAATATAATATTTCTGACAAGTTCTAACTTGTCAGAAATTGAAATATTCGCGATTTATAAAACTTATGATGCGTTTTAACTTATTAAAAGTGTAAGGATTTTCGGAAACTTTGTACTTATGCTACTTATAACTGAATTAACAATTTAAATTTCGAACGTTTCTGATTTTTTTATTTATTTATGTTGTACAATAACTAAAGTTAATGAATATAACTTCCGTCCATAGCAATAAATGTTTTATAATTTTAAAATATGCTGTTTTAAATGTATTGTTGTTAATTACAATGTTAAAATTGTTCTTTTTTTAAATAAATTTTAAAATTTATGACCAAAATTAATGGTTTGTTTACGTTAATTTGTCGAAAATCCGGAGTATAATTAAGTCTTTAACTTTTAAGTTTGATTCACAATCAGATTTATTAAAGAAAAAAAAAAGAAACTTCATTAGTGACGCGTGAAGGCTTTCTAAATGAACCGAATATTAAAAAAAAGATTCAATGGGTTTATTGAGTTTGACAAACAAGGTCACACTCTCAATTCAGTCAAGTCGAAACTTTCATAAATTAATATCCATTAAAGTACAATAACACGTGATTTCTTCTTTTTTAAAGAAAGTAGATTCAAAGAATTATAAGATTACAGAATTACAGATATTTGATCAGAAATTATAGGCTAGAACAGGCCTATAATTCTGATCAAATTTCTGTAATTGCAACACAAAAGCGTTAAGAAGGATGGGACAGAAAAATTCATGCTCCAGGTGCAATAAGGTGTTATTAATACCTTTAATGTATAGTAAATAATTACAAGAACTTATCAACAGAAAGGTAAATGCATACTAATATTAAATATTGAAGTTATTTTTTTAAAAATCTCTCTGTTTAATTAACAGTGTATGCCGTTAAAAGAAGCACAGTTATATGTATTGCCTCCAGGCACTACAAATCCACAATACGCCTCCGTCGTTATAACTTGCCTTAATTCTAAAAATATCAAAATCAAAATATAATTTTACTTTAATTAAAAAGTTGGTCTCTTATGGCTCAGATAAGGTCCTGAACACAAAGAGACCTCAATTTAAATATAAAATAAAATAATTTAAATTAAAGATTTGTTATTTATTATTTTATTTATTTTAATTATACATTTTTATGGATTTTTTTGAAAGCAAACTTTAACTTTGCGACTGGTTGCCATCTCATCTCATCTTTAAGGCCTTGGTACTCCTAAATGATGAGGAGCACAAACCACTATTGATTTAATTCTTAATCCCAACATTATTATTTAACGTGTATAAATATTATCAATTTTATTTCATCTCATGTCACCATTATAATTTTTCTTCAAAGTTAAAATAATTTATAATAGAGATAGTTAATATTCAACTGTAATGAAAAAAATATCTTGGAATAGTATATTATTAAGTGAAAACTATTATAATTTAGATACAAATATTGGAATACATTTTCAGTGTATCATCATGAAAATCTATTTCTATTTATATTATAATATTCATGAGAGTAATCAGCAACATTGAAAATATAAAAATTTTTTATATATATATTTTTTCTTGCTATTGTTTAATACTTTCTATAAATAAAATTAAGCATGAGCTATTAATTATAAAGTAACAATACAGCATTGAAAGGAACAAGGAAAATCAGAGCTTGCCATCAAACTCTACAGTTACGAAATTTGAACCATCGCTTTTTGACCTTCGTTTTGTGTAAGAAATCATTTATTTTTATTTCATATTCATGAAATTTATCGACAACTCTATTAGTTTAAACGTGGAGAAAAACCAGAAATGTGCTAGATTCATAATAGGACCATATACAGCAAGCAAAGCGCAAAACAAGCGCAATCTGCCAAATGATTTTCTATGGAAAATTGTCCGTGTTTTACGTTTTTACATTAAAGTACAATTAAATTACGTTTTTTCATTCAACCGATAATTAAATTATTCCTACACTATCTACAGCATATCCGTTGTCATTCCTCTCATATCAGTCACAATTCTACAGCTACTAAGCTCTACAGCTGTAGAATTGGGCAGCTTCTGCACTTCTGCAGATTACTCACGTTATACAACGACGAGTGATTCCGACTTTTCTAACTGCAGAACACAAAACACTTATCTGTTGCGGAGTCGCCATTTCTTAAATTTTAAGCTTAATCAATATGCAAATCAAGTAATTATTTACTTGATTTGCATACGTAACACGCATGTAATTACGTGTTACGTAGCTAAAGTAAAATTACGGCGAATTCTAAATAAAAACTGAAATAGGATTTAAAAACTTCGTTACAGACAATACTTTATTCAGAAATTAAAGATTTTGCAATTAAATAATTTGTTCATAAAATAAAAACTTATTATGTTGAATTACTATGTCATTATTCATTTTCATTATAACAATACAAACCTTGTCAACTATGAAATTTTCTTTTGAAATATATAAAAATATTAACTCCGTAACTTTTTGATTTAATTAAGAAACAAATTATATATATATATATATATTTTATTTTTATAATAAAATACAACTAAGTTATATATATAGTGTTTTGTTATGAAATCAGCTTAATTAATACTCGTTTGGCTTTGCGTGAAAGCATCAGCACTCAACAAAAGGTGCAAGATTCCCATAAGCAACGCAAACCAGAGGGAGACAAGCAAGGCATTTGCCTTCCCTTGGAATTGATTTTAAAAAAATCCCACAAATTTTAATCGTAAAAATATTCGAGATATCTAACCGTACACTCTCGACCATGGGATGCTTTGTCTGACTTTTTATATTGGGTGCGTTTACTTCTGAGTTAGCAGTGCTAATTCTGATAACCGGATGTGACGTCATTAGCACGTGTATTCGTGCTTGCTTGTCCAATTCGAAAGTGAACACATACGCTAACAAGAAATATGGCTGGAAACCGCCATATTTCTTGTTAGCGTATGTGTTCACTTTCGAATTGGACAAGCAAGCACGAATACACGTGCTAATGACGTCACATCCGGTTATCAGAATTAGCACTGCTAACTCAGAAGTAAACGCACCCATTGATTCAATACTGTATTCTGTATTCTACTTATAAACCCTCACAATTTAAATAATTAAATAAAAATTTATTGATGTAATTATTTGTCTCCAAACTTTGCTCCCTTAAAAAAATTTCTGTCAAACGCACATGCTCTTGAGCAATGCGTTTTAAATGTAACCAAAAAAGGAGGCCCACCAGTGGCCGAGTGGTTCCGTTCCCTCAACACTGTGAGTTCGTGGACGTGGGTTTGCTCCTGGCCAGGACGAGCTAGCCACGTGGAGTTTTCCGGGTTTTCTCCACGTCTGTAATGTCTGAATAGGGGCCAGTTTTCCTTAAAATCTCTCCCCGGAAGGCATCGCCCAAGTATTGTGTTGCCGTAACTTAACTAAACAAACAAACAAGCCAAAGAGGAAAATAATATAACACGGCAGATTACACAAGTAAACATCTCTGGTTTCATTTTCTGATTTAAGAATCCTGCCCCTTTCATTAAATTTTAATGCTTTTCATGTAGCATGAGACAGCACGAAAACTGTGCGGATTACGTGACACACTACTATACAGTAGAGGTGGGTAGTTCCAGACTCGGAACTACAAGCAATAGTTCCACACCGTCGAGACAGTTCTTTCCGGGAGGTCTTTTTAAGGGTAACTGGCCCATATTCAGATGTTACAGACGTGGAGAAAACCCGAAAAACTCCACGTGGCTAGCCCGTCCCAGCCAGAAGCGAACCCACGTCTCACGAACTCCCAGTATTCGGGGAACGGAACCGCTTGGCCACTGGTGGGCCTCCTTTTTGGTTACATTTAAAACGCAAGATTCTTACATTGCTTACGAGCACGGGCGTCCGACAGAAAATTTTTTAAGGGAACAAAGTTTAGAGACAAATAATTACATCAATAAATTTTTATTTAACAGTTAGTAGTCCGGAACAGTTCTAACAGTTCCAGTTCCAGCGGAGGAACTGGATTTCCCATTTCTAATTATTATTTATACAGTAAGCCTACATACATATAAGTATATATGTGTTTGTTTATTTGTTTATAAAATAAACACGGAAATTATAAAAGTAATTTTAATAAATTAATTTTATAATTTCCGTGTTTCCCGGCTTATCTCGTATGTTTCGATTGCTGGTAATATATTATCTGGGTGAGTTGGCAACACTTTCCGTAAGTAAAACATGTGCTTCGTTTTAAACGGAAAATGAGTTATTGGTCGTCGTATTTTAAATTTGGGATTGCTTGTTTGCTTTCAATGCTTGCCGGTGCACAGGTGGTTCATTCAATTTATAAACCTTTAGAGGTAATAATTGATCTCTGTGGTCCGTATTTAGTGTTAAGGATGATCTATGTAACTTACATTCTCGATCTCTACATAAAGAATTTAGTACCTGTATAGTAGTTTTACGTAATTACAATGTGAATATTGATAACAACAAAACAGAAAAAATTATATTTTTATAATTAGAGATGGTGAGAAGGTAAAATGTAGTTTCAGTACATGCTATCATCATTTCGATGCCATGTTGGGAAAGGAAGCGGTACTGACGATAAAGCATGCTTTTGTCGATGTATCCGCTTGTCTGGTCGTATAATTGATATCATATTTACGTTTTTTACTGCTATTGTTAGAGACTACTTTAAACATAACGTACATTCTCTTAATACAGGTAAGCAGAAATAGTGGCATCAACCCAAGATGTAAACGGTCATGACTTCCCTTTTAAACATGGCGTCGAAATATGGTATTGTGTGATTAATTAAAACAGTAACATCTTTCTCTTTAAAATAAAACGTAATTTTTAAATTGCTATTATTTTTAATTTGTACATTGTAATCACTTAATACAATACGATTCAATCTCTGAATGAGAGGTTTCACACCCCCCGAGAATTGTAGACCCCTATACAAGCAAAAAAGTGAAAGGAACCATAGTTGTACGTGCGACCATTCGCGAGATATTTGCCTCCAAAGGTCAGTTTTTAACACGTATCAGTAAACTGTCTATTCTCCATGATCTATGTGTACTCGTGCTTCAATGCTTGCTATCGCTCACATTTCTTGGCAGCCAGGTGGGAGCAAGCTCCCACACGCCGTAAAGCTATATAATATCAAGTATTTCATGAACAGTCAAGTGGGCTACTTGAAGCCGGCATAAAGTGGGCTGTAGTTGCGTGGGCTAAATAGTTAAATGCAATAGCCTTAGTGCAGCAACACTACTCACGATTTTGAATGACCTGTTTTTGGGGGCTGTATTTTGCAAAGGGTTACTTGTAGAGGTATGGTTAATTTAACT